TATGTAAACTACATTCTACATTGATGTACTGCGTAAAGATTCAACACGATAGACGCTATTAGATTATATTTATGTACAAAGAATTTGTGATCATTGTGAACTTCGTGATGCATTAAATGTTATTATACCATAAGGCCGATATGATATATTGACAGTGTCATAATTTATAAACAAAATGATAAGACTGTACTTGGTTTAAATTTTATTCAATAATTATTAAAGTTCTGGTTGATTGTTCAGTCGTAATTGATGTCATTACAATCCCAGAGCCGCACATATCAAGCGCCTATTGCCGATGATTAATTGTGTGGTGACGTAAGCATGATAATAATTTAAGAGTCGTCACATTCCCCTTTTCTTAGAATTTGCTTTCCCGAAGCGAATTCGATGGGATCGTTTTGGTACTAGGATGTTGGTGGCTTGATGCTTGATGTATGATGATGTGCTTCTCGAACTCCTGGGGTTGTACCTGGGCGTAATCAGGTGGCATGATGGGGCAGACGCATAAGTCTCAGAGGTACTATTCGTATTTGAACAATTCTTACAGTAAATTAATGTATTAGTTTACTTATTTTAAGCTTACATATTTCAAATTAATTAATTAGCATTTATTATTTTATACAAACAGTAATGTGTTGCTGATGCCATGGCTCTGTATCCTATTATTTTAAGTATCGGTAATCCTGTCTCTATTGTCGTGCGATATCTATTGGCGTTCAAGCGATGTTAACAGGTCAGAACATTCTTCTAACGTTTTTGAATATTCTTTTAAGTTTTTCAATACAAGTGGTGTTTCTTTCAAATGTGTTTGTAACAATGTTATTTTGTTCTTGCGACATGTTTACATTTACATTGATCAATTTCGTTTCCTATGTTAAATTTTATTTTCCTGAAATACATTTCATTATTGGTGTATGTATAATGCAGTTGATGTTGGCTTCTACCAAATGTACTGAATTAATTGTTTTTATAAGATGTGTTTTACAATTTATGTCTAGTGTGGATTTTATCGCGGTTATAATATACTATTCCGATGTAATAAGTGGAATATAAGTGATTGATTAAATTTTGAAAAGTACTCGTCTACAATGCATATGCAGGTTCTTAATTATTTCGGCTTCGCATATGTCCACGGTGAGAATTGGTGTGTTCGGTCTAGTTCGTTTACATATAGGGATTAGCTTGCCTAATTTACAATGTTTGTCCAAATATTTTTGGTCTATTCCAATGGCAGTCGTATATTGTTTGAAGTGTTAGTGTTTCTGGTATGATAATTGCGCTGAATATCGTGCCTGTTTTCTTAGGTATCGGATAGCATTTTCGTAATTTCCACTCTAGAATCGGTATATCTATTACATGAACTATCTTAGTTCCTCAAAGGTTAATTTTTATTTTGCTAATGTCATATATTAGTTGAGCGTTTTCCTCTATTGGTTCTATGTCATTGTACATGTTACTTTCCTTTATTAATTTTGTATATGCCAGTAAAAATTGCTTATTAGTTAGGATATCCGGGTGAATTATTACTTGTTTTCCTGTAAGTATTGCAGTTATTGTGGT